TTTGATATTCCCAGCTGGCCGTCATGAAGTTCTGGTAATAGCTGAGAAAACCTGTCCAGGGTCTGTTAACTCTCCTGATTGACCTCGTCAACATAATCTGGCTCCCATCGCCCACAATCCAAGCGTCCTGGCCATCTGTCTTTCCCAGGAAAAGAGCCATCCTCCAGCGTGGGTTGCCCTTTCCACTCTGTGGCTTCACATAGGCATAGACCGGGCATCCGAATGGCACAATTGCGCCATCATAGCTTCGTCCATGCACCAACTCATAGCTGGTGATGCCCTTCGTAGCTTGGTACCTGTTCAGGAGCCAACATGCGTGTCGTGAGGCCCAACTCCACAAAGTGTGGTTTGTGTTGTACTTCAAACCTGTTCTCTCTGCAACATCCGACATCAATGTGCACGCTAGCCCACGAACACGCTGAATAGCATTCTCGGCCAAGCTGTTGCCTGCAGAGTCTTTCACCTTGGTCGTATACAACCTTGTCCTCAGGCCCATCGAATGCCGGCTATTCAACACAATCCTCAACAATGACCTCATCGTGGGCTCGTTATCGGCATAGAGGCCCACTTCAACATGTCCAAGGCTTTGGATGAAGGTCATAATCTCGCGAGCCATCAAGCTGAGCTGTCCCTTCGACTTCAACGGGACTGAGCCGAGCGCTCCTGTCTGGCTGTCCACCAAGATCATCCACAGGGCCGGCTTGAGCTCTCGAATTCTCAGCTCCTCAGCTTCCTTGGACTCTTCCTCCTCGTACACATCAATGACCATCTCTTCATCCTCCTGACCCCTGTCTAAGGGCTTTGGATCACGATCAACTTCTCCAGCCTTGGTGTAGCATAGGTCCAATGAAATGATTGGAATGCCACTCAACCGTGAAGCTCCAGTCCTCATATGCCGGTCAGGTCGGCCTCGATGTTTCAGGCATGCCGGGCACCAAGGTTGATACGGCACATGGGTCAGGCAATGCTTCTCCTGCTCCTCCTGTGACGGGACCGGGATGACTGGTTGTTCTCTGGGCTGTCGAGCTACCTGCATCTGGGCTGCGGCCACTGCTTCTGCTGCTGCTTTGAGCTCCATCTCCTTCATGTGACTGACCAGTCGCTGGTAACACCTCAATCGACTTCCCGACTGGCTCACACCAAAGAAGTTGCATGCCGCTCTCAACTGTCTCAGCGGGCTGACTGATGTGAGCTCAATGCCATTGACCATGATGTGATCAGGAATGCCAGGCCCCATAGCTAGCCTAGCCTCCTGCTCGACTTCTCCTCCTGCCTCTTCCACTCTCTCAGCAGGCTGCTCTTGCTCTGGGATCTCAATCTCCTCCAACGGCACCTCATGGTCACGGACCATCATGGGCTGCTCATCGATATGGAGTCCAGTGTCCACTTCAAAGCCCATCTCTTCCACACTCATGGCCTCCTTGGTCAAGATGGTGATGACCATGACATTCTCCCTTGCGCCCTCAATCTCCTCTTCCTGGTTGAAGATCCGATGAAGATCCTCACACATCTCCAGAAGTTGCCAAGCACCAGCAACCTTTGCCAACGTTGTCCTCTTCCAGCTCACTGCCGATGGGATGCTACCCACGTACTGCGGACTCTGCAAGGTCTTGGCCAGGTGGATGCCAATCCATCTGTCTCCCAAGTCCTTCCATCCTGTCTGGAACCTTGCCTTCTCCTCAAGGTCCTCTTTGAGCTTTGCCTCAAGGACTCTCACCACCTGTGGCTCGATCGAGATAGTTCGAACACTACCTTCTGCCACCAAGCTCTTGTTCTGTAGGCGCAATGGGATCTTGACCTCATGATCACCTGAACCATACACCAGGGAATGATCTGCAATTCCCCAGCCACTCTCCATCAGCCGTCCAAAAGACAAGATCGGCTGTGAAATGCCCTTGGAAAAATGAGCCTTCTCGTAGATCTGGATCTCCTTGCCACTCTCCGCCTCGAACACGAAGCAGACACTCTTGTAGCCCTCAATGGAAATCTGTTCCCCTTGAGCATCTTGCAACAGCGGTCCATCCTCCTCAACTTCCACACCAGCCTCCAGGTAGGAGATTGGGAGAACTGTTGCATCTGCCCCAGAGTCCACGATGATGGGGCATGTCTCACCAAGATCCTGCCCTCTTCCTCCAGCCTGAACCATCATAATGCTCAGCTCCTTCTCGTCGCCCTTGTTGAAGCTCTCCTCATCCAGGCTGTAGAACTGAATCATCCTCACCTGACCATCATGCATCTTTCCCCTCAAATCAAAGATCAGGGGCTTCTCAAATTCTTGTGAAACCGGGCTCAACTCCATGATCCTCTTCACGGTCGCCGTCTTTGCAGTAGTGGCCTGACTCCCACTTGTCGATGTCCACGTTGATGAGGCATCTCCCTGACTCTGGGTCTGCTGCTGTGGTGAGCCATCTGCCACTTGCCGAACTCGCCAGCAGTCTCGAGCAAGGTGACCGGGCTTGCCGCAGGTGTAGCAAACCTTCACTTGGCCTCCATCGCCTTTTCCTTTCTGGCCTTTTTGAGCGTCACCCTTGCCGTTGCCCTTCTGCTGGTTCTTCCCTTGGCCATAGTCCGAGCCCTTCTGCTGGACCTTTCCTTTTCCTTTCGAATTCTTGGCATCACCTTTGCCCTTGCCCTTGAAGTTCGAGGCGTCCTTTCCTTTTTGCTTCCCTTTGCCCTTCTCACCTTTCTGGCCAATGCGATCGATCTCCATTGGCGCAGGTCCTCCGCTGTCCTGACCCATCATCATCGTTGAGCTCCACTTCAACGTAGCGTTGTCATACTGGATGATCGCCTCACGGAGTCTTGTATAATCCTGGCTTTCTGCTACGTGGAGCTGTAGCCACATCTTCAACTGGCCACTCACACACTTCATCAGGATGGCAAACTTCAGGCTGTCTTCCAACTTGCTTCCAGTGCGCTCATACTCGATGAAGGCCTCTTCGAGGCGAAGCAGCTGGGTCAGTATGCCACCCTTCTTCATGTCGAACTGGCCCCACTCCAAGATCATCGTGAGGAGTCCTAATGACCTGTTTTTGCTAGCTGGTTCGAGTGACTGGACCAGCATTCGGTATGCCTCCATGCCATTGGCCTCCTTGACCTGCTTGATAAGGGACAGCGGGCGATGTCGGACTAGTGAGGCGAGCAAGGCATATAGGAATGACCCTCTCTGTCTCTCCTCATCTGACTGCAGGGACGTGTCGACGGGGCGATCTGGATGCTCTCGAATCTCCTTGATGTCCTCGACGAAACCTGCATCCAGCGAAGCAAGATATTGCTCTAAGCCCCAGCTGAAGTCACGCCATAGGGAAAGTTCATCTTCACGGGACTTGGGCTCGTAACTGCATGGTTTGGGCAAGACTCGAAACCATGCTCGATCATCACCTCCGGACTTCTTGTTAATAGCCTCAGCCGCCAAGCGGGCTGCAACGCTCGCCTGCTCAGCAGCTTGCACCATCCTCAGGGCCAACTCCTGCCCTCCAACCTGTGCCCCAGTTGGGGATCCAGCCGGAGATCCCGCTGGTGAGCCGAAAGGCTCTCCACCACCAAATCCTGCCATGCTCCTTGACAAGGACCTCTTTGGGGATCAGGATGTAGGCCCCAACACCTCCAGCAACAAAGCGACCAGCGGCCGAAATGGCGGGCCGCCCCTCCGGATTGGGTCCTGTCCGGAAAACCCTCTGCTTCCTGGAGCCTCCAGCGAAACCCTAAGGAGTCGCCTTCTCAGGCTCCGCTACCACGCGGAAGCAGCTTTTGAACTGCAAACAGCGGTCTGTTAGTAAACTGGTACACTTCTCATTTGTGCGTGTCTTAGACACTTGTGGTGTGAGTACCACTTGTCCAACTTCACAGTTTCCTTTCATGCGTTCAGTGCACATATCTCCCAGCCTGAATGGAAGTAACTTACATTTTCTTAAAAATTGTAACCTGAAGAAAGGGGAGGTTCCCATGTTGGCTCATATACGTACCTTCAAAATGTAATAGTACATTTGTTAGGCCAAAGCCATAGGAACATGTATTGGGAGGTCCCCCCTGCAAAGGGGTGGTGTTGTAATTACAAATTACCCTGAGAGGCTGAATCAATGATGGATGCCCACGTCGAATGACCACCAAAGTCAGAAACAATTTGGAGTGACAGATTGTCCCGGCAAATGCTGCTTGCCATGTGCACCGGCATAATGTTCTGACGCTTGTTTTGGGATCAAATTTGGCGCGTGTTCAAGCACAGCGCCTGGCATCAACGCGGGGGCATGTTTTGGACCGTTTTCCAACGTCCTTGTTGTCATGCTTTCTGAACATTTCCCTCATGAAGTTTCGCATGTATTCTTCATGCCGTGCAGTCGGGAGGCTGCAGCCTGCCCAGCTGGTTGCGGCCCTGGCCGGACATATTGAGCTGTGCCCAGCACGCACAGCTGTGGCGCTCTGCCTGGAACTAGGCTGCGCTGGCCAGTTGCCAACACCATCCCGCACCCGTGGTGTGCCACGGAACCGCCCTCACCATCGCTGAAGCGCGCCGACGACCTCCGCTGTTTGCGGGCCTGCTCCTTTAAATTGGGTCCGGCGCCGGGCCTTGCTCCACGCCCTCTGCAATCAATTTCGCAGTTACTGCACGTCCTTAATTAGGGGAGCGTCTTGCGCACGAAAAAACATTCACGCGACGCATTTCCTTTCTTGGGTCTCACATGTGGGTTTTCTGCACTTCTGCAACTTTGATCGAGCGCAGCAAACCGCAAAGTGGGCTCAAAGTAGCCCAGCCAACCCGAAGCAAGTTTGCGAACATGTCTGCGAACCGGGCTGTGTTTGATGTGTTTCAACGTTATGACAAAGACAGGAATGGCGTGATTAGCCGGGAGGACGGAGCGCCAGGGAAAGCAGGGGAAACATGGGGAAACAGGGAAGGCAAACAACTGTACCAGAGGTAGCTTGGACCCGTTCTGCCTGTGTCGTAGTGGCCTGTATTGGTTCCAGTTCCGTGCGATTCCAAACCAGCTTTTTGAACCCAGGAGCTGGTTGAAGTGCTGAAAACCTTGGACGAAGACAGCTGGGACGATACCAGCATCGACTCGCTGCTTGCTGGGGCCGACAGCAATGGTGATGGTGCTCTGCAAGTGGTTGAATTTTTGAGCTGGATCCTTGGACCGACTTGGGTTGAAAACCCTGAACATTTATCAGTTGCTGTATCAATGAAGTTGTCAACCACGTCAAATCCAGCCCAACAGACAATCAAGGGCGTTCAGCTAGACATTGAATTTTTTGATAAAACACTTGATCAGGGCGAAACTTGTGGCCAGCAGAAAAGGTTCATTGAGAACAACTGTCACTTCTGTAAATGATCGATGCGCATATTTGCCGTTCTAAGTCCAACACAAACAGTACACGTTGTTTTGCAACTACGTTGTTCTCGCATCACAAAGTTTGAGCCCACCAGTTTTTCACCCCTTTTTGTTTTTGTTTTGCAGTTTTTTTGTGGCATTTTACTTCCAGCAAACTCTTCCATTCTTCAATGCGTTGCGTTGCATTCAAACAAACTTTTGTTCCTAGACCCTGCTAAAGGTTGTTCCGAATCAGCCAAGAATACATGGAGGGAGACCAAATGTTCAAGAATAGTTTGGCCCACCCTCGGCCTGGCAGGCATAATGAGTTCTTGCATAGGTTTTTTCACCTCTGGGTCAGCCTCGCGTTTTGGTATTCAGTCTGCCCCTGAACTGGTTTGTACTACAGTGTTTGTGCCTACTTGAATGGCAAGGCACCAATGAAAACTTTCGCTGAGCCAACTACTTCATCAGCTGTTTCATCAGCTTGAGACTACCAATGTGTGCTTGTGAGTGAGTTGATCCAGATTGAAGAGCACTTGCGAAAACCATCCTGGTTCCCCATTGAAAGCTTTCCTCCACATTTTTTGAGCCGTGAACCCCCCGAAAGTAATTTAACATTAACAGGTTTTCAAAAGCGCTTATGTCACTGCAGAATTGACACCCCGTAGTGAATCCTACTGAAACATTTCCTGGAAGTGCGAAGTGGGATTGGACAGGTTTTTCTCGAGAATCTAACTTCTGGACTCGGGACATTTTCGTTGTCCTGGAAGTAAGAAGGGGAAGGTGCTTCCAGACGCTTGCAGTGTGGGAGTTTGGACAGAATTAAACTATCATTGGATGAAACATTGGGAAACTTGGAAACTTAGGGAAAACTAGTGTGATCAGTTCGATCTACTTCCTCCCTGGAACAAAGAACACCGGGCTGATTGGTCGTAAGCGGACCCCTCATGCCTCTTTTCTCCCACGTCGGATGGCATTCAGCAGACCTGAACAGTTGTTCAAACGAGTGGCACGCAACTGGTCTATGTGATGTCGATTGATGTTGATGATTAATGTTGTGATTTTGTCAGAACTGAGCATGTGCACCCTGCCACAAGGATGACACGCACGAAATCATGTGTGTGTAACATAGCGGTTCAAGGTTTGCGGAAAAGGCCGCGACTTTCGGATGGTAGCGGAGCACTGGTTCCGACCGGTGCGATGATGCTACCCGGCCGCGCCCTGGCTTGGTGCCATGTCGCATGGCAGGTTTTGTTCCTGCCGACGGAGCACCTCACGAAGGAAACTGCATTGGTCAGTCCCGCCAATGGCAGTAGCACGCAAAGCTGGATGACAGAGGGCTCCTGGGACAGCAATTCGACGATGCTGGACGAGCAGCATGTGGTGACTGTGTTTGAGGCCTGGCATGAGGTTGCAAGTGGGTTCAAGGCCTACGAGGTGAGCAGGATGAGCAACAAAGGAGCCACAAGCTTTGAGTTGAAGTTGTTGAGAAGGAGGCGCAGGTCGAGTGGCATGCAGGTGAAGAGTTGTGAAAGTGGTGAGGTTGTGTGTGAGAAGATGGTCACAGGCTTCATGGACTGTGGGCCCGGAGAGGTCATGGCAGGTCGAACATGGCCGTTGAGGACGGAAGTTAAGAGCAGACAGATCTTCACCGAGGAGATGAATGAGAGTTCAACCATCGAAGACTTGAACCAGAGTGTTGAAAGCCCAACAGATGAACTTGTGGAAGCGAGCGAGTTGAATCTGGCAAGGATGAACAGGTTCTTCGAGGCCATTAGTTTGTTGATGTGGTCGATGAGCGAGAGCAGTGATTTCTTGAGAGAAGTCTTGCATTGGCCATTCATTCGCAACCAGAGGCATTATGAGCTGTTGAGCACGGTGTTGAAAATGAAGGAGAAGCTGAAGCAGTTTGAGCAGGCAGTTGTTCATACAGGTCGTACATTGTTGGCTGAAGAGTTGACAGGTTGGTGTATGATGGCTTTGAGCAGCGTGTGGAGAAGAACAGGTGTGACAGGTTGTTGGGTTGCATGGATCCTCAGCTTGTCAATCACCTGGTTGATGAACCGCTTGAGCTGGACAGCAAGTGTGAGGCGATCTTCGAGGACAGAGAAGAAGAAAGTAGCTAGGAGGAAGAGTGAGTGCAGGTTGCAGGTACGGACATTGGTTTTTCTAAGCTTGGTGCGATCCACTCAGTGCATGCAAGCTGATGAACAGTTCTTCCAACAGATGTCGCAACTTGCAGCTGCAGCCACGAATGCAGCAAGTGCAGCCGAGCATGCATTGACAGCATTGCAGACGGCAGGTGGAGCTTCGAGTTCAAGTTCGAGTGCAGGTGTGGCTGGAACACTGCAGGCTGGATTGACGGCCGCATCCAAGGTGTTGAGAAACCCAGACACTTTTGATGGAAGTGATCCCCATGGCTTCTTGACGTGGAAGTTTGTGTTCACGAGCTGGCTGACATTTGCAGAGCCGAAGTACAAAGCTTTTCTAGAGAAAGTTGAGGAATTAGATCACATGCCGGCAATGTCTGCATATACAGAGGATGAACAGATGTTTTCAACCCGGTTGTTTGCAATCCTGACCAGCTACCTCAAAGAACGATGCTTGCACCTGGTCAGATCAGGCATGGAGCAGCGGAATGGTTTCGCATTGTGGAAGGAGCTTCACAAGGAATACCTTCCAAGCACTCGGGCACGAAGTCTGGCCCTTGCTCAGGCCCTGGCAAGCTATCCCTCGTTTGCCAAGGACAAGACAGTGCTCGACAATGTGCTCAGCTACGAGCAGTTGGTGCAAGAGTTTGAGAAGATGTCAGGAACAACATACCCACAAGAGTTGAAGGCAGCAACATTGATTCGATGCAGTGAGAACAGGTTGAGAGAGCGCTTCCAGCTCACCATCAAGGAGACGACCACCTACAATGAGATCAGAGAGGCTGTTCTGTCACATGAGCAGGCAAGCAAAACTTGGTCGCAGGAGTCGATCATGAAGTCCTTGAATGTGAGCCCCGATCCTAACGGTCCAGCGCCGATGGAGGTGGACCGAGTGCAAGAGAAAGGTAAAGGAAAGGGCAAGTACAAAGGAAAGGGCAAAGACAAAGGCAAGAGTTGGTGGCAGTTTCCTTTTGGTGGCCGTGGAGGACAGCAGAAGGGCAAAGGCAAGTTCGAGAAAGGTGGTAAGTCCAAAGGAAAGAACAAGGGCAAGCAAGGTGGCAAGTCAAAGGGCAAACAGAAAGGTAAAAGCAGCGGCAAGAAAGGTTCCGATGTTGGTCAAAACCAGTGCAGAGTGTGTCATGGCTATGGTCATTGGAGCCGCGATTGTCCACAGAGGGTTCAGCAGATTACAGAGACCAATGTTCAACAGCAGCAAGGTCATCAGATGTCAACAACAAACACAACAGCTAGTGCTTCGAATGCATCGACCTTGAACACTGCAGTGAGGAGGATTTTCCACATTGGTCCGCCCTCAGTGAGCACCTATGCTGACAGTTCTGTTTGCGTGGTCATTCAGGAGATCAATGAAGAGGAAGTTGTTGAGACTTGCAGAAAAGTGGTGATCCTTGATAGTGGATCAGATGTCTCATTATTGCCCTTGAGCTACGCCAACGAGAACATTGGTGAGAGCAACGTTCGACTTCAAGACTGCCAAGGTACAAGCCTAAGGACTGCAGGACAGCAAGATGCAACGTTGGTGGTGTTTGATGCAAAATCTGGTGAGGAAGTTGAGATTCACCACCGGTTTTTAGTTGGAAATGTCCACAACTGCATTTTGTCCTTGGGTGAGCTCTATAAGAGTGGATGGATGTTGAAGAGCGATGGTCCAGAGCAGTTCTTGATTTCGCCAGATCAAGAGGCGAAGATTCCAGTGATGTTCCAACGCAACTCGTTTGCCATTGAGGCCATGATTTGCCAGGTGACGGCAACAGAGATTGACCAGGAGTTGTATGAAGTGAGGGCAGTGATCAGGCTCAGCCCGAACTACGAGCCTGAACTACCCTATGGCAGGTGGGATGTCACGAACAACCATCCCCACATGAGGAGCGTTGGAGTTCACTTCGCCGATCCGAGAGCAGTTTGGTCAGCAAACTTTGCATTCCGTACAACATTGATTCAGAAGGTGATCAATCCAGAAGAAGGTTGGCAAGTTGTGGAGGTGGCACAAAAGTTTCTGGAACAGGAGAACCCATTTGGTCGAATCTCCGAGATCCCTTCAGGTGAGCAGTACGTGATTTTGACCATTCTGTCCGACCGTGAGGAGAACCTCGGTAGCTTTGGTACGCTCATCGGAGGTGATGAACCACCAGTACCTGAAGCGCAACAGGAAGATGAGCAAGAGGTTCAGATGGAGGAGACAACAGAAGGTGAGAAGGTTGAAGAGCAAGAGATTGAAGGGAAAGACATTCCAGAGTTCCCGATCATTGCACCTTCGTTCAAGCCCAGAGGCACAGAGGACACTTTGTTCATTGGCGAGATGCAGCTAACAGAGAGATCCAGTGTGAAAGACCTCAAGGAAGCAGCAAAATATTTGAAGTTGAGCAGCTCAGGTTCCAAGACGAAGATCTTCAACAGGATCAGAGATGCCTATGAGCAGTCGTTGAAGAGACGTGCCCTTGAGGTTGCTCGCCAGGACTATGCAAAGCTGTGCCCAGAGCCAAGATTTGTTGATGCTCCAGTTCAACCAACAGAGAAGGAGCGGAAACTCCATGAAGTCACCCACCTTCCATTCAAAAGGTGGTGCAGTTTTTGTGTCATGGGCAAAAGCAAGGCAAACATCAAGTATGCCAGCGATCCAGCAGATGTTGCAGTCAGAACAAATC